GTTGGTTAAAGGTACACGATGGGCTAAGCCAGCGCGAGAAGTTGGCAGAGGGTCATCCGAATAGTAAGCTTGGATCTGAATTTGCGCAATCGCCAAGTGTTTTTGAGGGTTCACAATCACAAAACTTTGGAGAAAAGATCTTGGCAGAAAATGTGAGAAAAAGAGAAGGGAGAAGAGAGAGGAAATGCGAAGAGGAGGGCAGGTTAGGATAGGACAAGGCTGCAGGAAAACTACTAAGCTGAGCTGAGCAGATCAATTAGTCGGCTTCGCTCAGAGTCACCACCACAAAAGCAGGGCCAGATCCAGGCCGCAGGATAGATGGGCAAGGTATGGCACACAAGGACGGGACGGGATTGGAGATGGGCGGCTGGCGGGCAAGGTAGGCAGATGCAGGGCGCACCGCATGTCAGACTGGCCGCTCTCTCTCCCGAGACACGAAGCGTACCTCTGGGCCGTCCGTCTATCTGTCACTCGAGAGATAGAGCGAGCGAGCAAGGACACAAGAGTACCGGTAGCCAACGGGCGTGGCTTGCTTCTCGGAACGCCTCCGCACTTCCAGTTCCAGTTCAGGTCTTGAAAGTTGACATGAGTGACAAGCAGGCAAGGCGGTGCGGTGGTGTTGCGCCCACCTTTGCAAGCGAATGCAGGTGAACCTCGCCCCGGTATCAGGCTAGTCCCGCGAGGAGATCGACATGGCGGGCGATGAAAAGAGTGTCAACATGTCTGCTGCATGTTCCAACGTGGAGGAGGGGGGTGGAGGAGAAGCGCCAAAGGTGGAGGAGGAGGCGTTCTGGCGTCTTGGATCCGAGGTAGGGCTGCTGAGCTGTCGCTGCTAGCCTTCAGAATCCCCCCAGGCAGACCCGTTTGGCTTCATCGGCGTGGCACATTCCTAAAGCTGGCTCCGCGATTGGTGTTTCTCAAGCGAAAGGAATGTCGCGGGCGTGACGGAGTTTGCTGGTAAAGTAATGAGGGAAGAGGGACGTTTGGTAGGGGGTTGTAAGCGATCAAGTCCACAACGTCGGTACGTACTATGACTGAATAAGCAAGGAACTTGAGGTAGGTAGCATTGGTACCTAGGTACTATGGTAGGCTCATCAGATGAACGCTGCAGCCACGAGGTCCAGCACAGCTAGCGCAGAGGCGCAGCTCAATACAAGCCCATCGACGTAACCTCTTAGAGGAAAGAGGCTCTAACAAGCATTTGGATCATTGCACAAAACGACGCCCAGTTGTGTAAGCCTCCCGATCTGCCTTGCCCGGTGCGCAGTTTGTTTTAAGTGGTCATCTGCCCTTTCATCATGAGGCATTACTGAGTAAGGTCAGGAAGGTAGACAGCCCTGACAACATACCTTATCTCAACTTCTCCATCGGTCACCCTTTGTGGCCACCGACGACAGCATCGCTTTTGCTCCATTTTTCTTCACCGAAGAGACAAACATCCAGAGGGGTTGCCTAACTCGTATTTTGACCGAAACAAACGCCCGATTACAGACAGCAAGTAACCCGTAGCTTTTCGGAAGACCCCAATTAAACATATTCGCTAGCAATACACGCCAGAACAGGCATAACTCATATTCTCGTCAATAAGGGGTTGTGTGTATATTTTGTTTCTCATCCACCAGCCCGTCCTTTGACCAACTGTTGATGACGGCCTCTATGCCTTGGTTGTGTTTCCGGAGATGCTCTGGTGATCTCACGTCAGAAGGTGGCAGTGACGGTTAAAGTATACAGCGACTTACCTGAGAAATCAGATTGCGACCAATCTGGATAGTCTCGGCCATACCGCGTTGGCGAAGCCAGAATCTGTCACATCGTCAGTTTAAATCTTCAAAGTCAAGGGCAAGAACATCAACTTACGCCTCCTCGGCGCCTCCGTGGCCCTGAGTCGAGATCCTGCGGGCCTCATCCTCAAGAGCCTGCATGGTGATCATCTCCGTCTTCTCGATACCCGGAGTGGCAGCTTGGTCCGAAACGCCTTGGCCCAGGTTCTCCTCGAGCAGTCTCTTCTTCATCATGAAACGTTCCTTCTTCTCCCTTTGCAGTCCGGGGCTATCCAGCTTCTTCATAACGAGGCGAACGACGAACTGAGCGCCAAAGTAGAAGTGCTCCGAAAGGAGGATACTGAGGAGGAGACCCCATGCCTGAATGCTTCCAGGGGTACCACGAGGTCCATCGCCCTTGCCAGCGGATCTGCACAGGAATACAATTGAGGCGCTGGTGATGCTACCCAACCAAGACAAAAAGCCCAGGGCGTTGAGCCAGGGTCCGATAGAGTCGGCGCGCCACGGAATCGGCCGTCTGCTGCTAATGGCGATCTTGACAGCGTCCGACCTCATCTCGACCCAGTTGTTGACGAGGAAGCAGCAAGCTGTCAAAGGCCAGGCCACGGAGAAGAGAGAGAGGTAACCAAACTGGATGACCATCTCTCTGTAGTCTCCGGTAACATCGTAGGTCTCAAGCTCAGCTTCGTTTCTCACACGCTCCAAGAAGGCAGCCTCTTCCGGCTGGTCCTTGATCTTGGCAGCGCTGTCCTCCTTGGACATCTTGGACTGCACCTCTCTGACCTCCTGGAACACCTGGCGCTTGACGTACGGCACAATGACCTCGGTGGCAAAGTTGACGACCTGGGCGGTGACGGTGAAGTAGAACATCTGTTTGCTGATTCTCTCGGGGTTGATGGAAAACTCCTGAGTCTGGAAGTTGACGTCCTTGGGGGTGATCTTCTGCGCAGTTGTCCGCCAGAAGTCGAGGTAAGGAGTGAGATGGTCGCCGAAGGGCAGGTAGACAAAGGTGGTGAAGAACAGGGCCATGTAAGAGGTCAGGAAGTTGAGAACGAACTCCTTCTGAACCAAAGCCGCATGGTGTGCGTCAATCGTTTCGTAGTTTTCCATCTCAGTCAGTCTCGTCGCGAACTTGGTGAGCACGGTAGAGAAAGTAGGCGTCATAACCACCAGAATGACGGTCGGGAGGAAGGCCAGGTAGGACTGGAAAGGTCCATTGTATACCTCGTTGATAAAGATTTCCAGCGAGTTGCAGGTCACGATGAGAGTGCCCAGCACCACGATGCACGCTGCTGCGAAGGGGATCTGGAGAAGTTGCGTCTGCAGACGCTTGATGGGCGAGTAAATCTTGACGGGCTCTCCGGTGATGGGGTCCTCGGCCTGGCGCTCGAACTCGAATTGCGGGCGAGGGTGCTGGATGTTGGAGACGCCGCGGACGCCCCACTGTACGGCGAGGTCGACTTCCCTCTGCTTCCAGAACTCGAAGAAGATGACGGACCACAGGCAACTGACGAGAGCATAGAGCCAGGAGAACTGGCCAAGAAACATCCAAGCACCAAAGCCGGCGGCGGCGGGAACGACGAGGAACTTGAAATAGGTCTGCATGAAGGCAAAGTAGAAGGCGACGCTCTCGCCGAACTTATCGCGAATCTCGTCGAGGTCGTTCTCGTCCGTCTGTCCCTTTGTGCTCACCCTCTTGATCCACTGGCGGTTGAAGGAGTGGTTGTGGAGGGGAAAGATGCTGGCGACGTGCTTCCACTTGCCGGACTCGGGGGTGATGCCGGCCCCGCCCTCGTTCTTGGGCTTCACCATGAGCAGGTAGACGAGGCGCAGGCGCTCGGCGTCGGAGACGGGCTCATCGCGGAGAGCCTGGGAGAGGTCCTTGTCTGCGGTGTTGGTTCGAGCGCCCTGTAGCCAGTCTTGCAGTCGGGATCGGTAGACTTGGTCGGCGAGGAACTTGTCGGCGATCTTGATGAAGACGAGGACGGAGCTCTTGTCGCCTCTCCGGACCTCGGTGGTCAGGCCAACATGGGTCAAGGCTTCGATTAGCTGGACGAAAGAAGCTTCGGCGCTGGCGCGGTCTGAATGAAGTAATGGGTCAGTTTTCATGGTGAGGCACATAGGCAAAGGGGGACTCACCCTCTTGCGGGATCTTGTAGTTGATGACATAGTCGACGCCAAAGTTGGTGTCTAGACCCTTGGTCTTCTCATCGCTGTAAAGGTCGCGAAGAGTCGCCATTGCTGCTGCGGACCGCGGGTTCGTCCCAAGAGATCAGTCGTCGGGAGCTCGAGCACGGATGGTATGTGTGCAGGATAGGAGGTCTGGATTGTAGAGATGGGATGCACTTTGAGACAAGATATGAGAGCTATCCAAATGCTCGAAAGTGACGGGATCACGACAAGAGAAAAGGTGGTAGGGTTCGCGATGGTCTTAAAGCCAAGTGCGAGAATGTTAGCCAAGTGGCTGAAAGTAATGACGGCGATGTCTCGCTTGGCAGGTTTTTTTAATGAACAGAAGGAGAGAGGAGCTTGGGCGTTTGGCTGGCTGGCGGGACTGAGGGAACCGTCACGTCACCGCGCAGGGCCCCGACTTGGCCGGGGAGCTCATTTTCAGGGAACAAGCTCTAGCCCCTCAATGCCTCTACGAAGTACCTGGTGCCCACCAGTCGATCCCACCACCGCTACGCCAAACATGGATTGGCGCTGCCGTGTCGCTGGGAAAGGTCCAGTGGTGTTGTACTTGGTGGGCTTGTAGCATCGTAGCAGTGACAATGGTGGTGCGTGGCTCGTGCTGCCCCGGCACCTCCCCCTCCACCACTCCCCTCTTCCTCTGGCCCCCAGCATAGCTGAACCGCCGCCATGCCAGGTGCCGGCCGGCCCACCTCACTGTGGACATGGCGACATGCACTGACTGATTGACTTCTGGCGGGTGGATTGTCATTGGATTGCACATGTGCTGGCTGGTGCTGTCATCGGTGGGGTTTCAGCTTTGGCAGCTGCTTGGAGCTCCCTCTGCCCCATGTGAAGATCCGTCCGGCCAACCTCAACACCACTTCACCTCACCTCACCTCACCTCACCACACCACACCGTATCTCACCTCAATTCATATCACCAATTTCACTCACCTCGCACAGCAGCTCACATGGAAGTCGTATGATCCCTGCGTCCCTTCACTCGATATCCCCACGAACAGGGACACCGACGGACACAATCTCCAAATGACTCTCCTCACAGCCCTCGGCCTCCGCCGCAAAAACGACTGGGAGCCCCTAACCCTTATCGACGCCATCCTTCTCTCACCCCTAAACCTCCTCGTCACAATCATCTACAGCATAATCCTCTTCCTCCGCGGTCGACCCTTCACCCCGCCCCGCGACAAGCCCGCCATCCGCGTCGTCTGTCTCTCCGACACCCACGACCGCACCGACGTTGACATACCCCCGGGGGACCTCCTCATCCACGCCGGCGACCTCACCAACGCCGGCACCGTCGCCGACATCCAGGCCCAGCTCGACTGGCTCGCCGCTCAGCCTCACCAGCACAAGATCCTCGTGTGCGGCAACCATGACAGTTTCTTCGATCCCAGCGCCCGTCTGCCCGAGGACCGCGGCAAGAGCCTCGATTTCAAGGGGATCCGCTATCTCATCCGTGATGCCGTCACGCTGGAGTTCAAGGGTGGCCGTCACTTGAAGATCTATGGTGCCCCTGATATCCCGACCTGCGGCGGTTCAGAAATGGCTTTCCAATATGATCGTTCATCACCGCCCTGGACCAACACGGTACCAATTGACACTGACGTTTTGATCACTCACACACCACCAGTAAGTCTCATCTCATCTCATAGTACTTCATTTCACTTCATCTCATCCTCTCCACCTGCGAAAACTTCCTCATCTAACACAAGCCACAAGAAAACCCACCTAGACCTAAACCTAGGCTGCCCAGCCCTTCTCCAAGAAGTCTGGCGCGTCCGCCCCAAACTCCACGTCTTCGGCCACGTCCACTGGGGCCACGGCCGCCAGACCGTCCACTTTGACGACTGCCAGCGCGCCTACGAGGCCCTCATGTCCCGCCCGCCCCGCGGCCTCTTCCGCGACCTCTTCCCCCACGCTGGCTGGCGGGACGCTCTCGCCGTCCTGGGCTACGGCATACACGGCGTCGTCTGGAAGTGGCTCATGGTCGGGCCCGGCGGCAACACCAGCAGTCTCATGGTCAACGCCGCGCAAATGTACGGCAACACGGGGCGGCTGGGGAACCCGGTGGAAGTAGTGGATTTGTAATGAAATAAAGAGCAAGATAATGACTTGGAATCATAAAGTTTTTGTGTACCTATAAGAACTACGTATAATGTAGTAAGGCGATGCGCCCGTTGCGCTGGTGTGGTATCATGGCGATGTCTATGCTAATGAACGTGCTGGAGGAAATCAACGAAAGAAAACAAGCAGAAAGATAGAAAGAAGTGAGAAAGAGAGAGACCAAATGCGCCGCCAATATGCACCGGGAACCAGCCCACCGATTCGCACGTCGCCTCGACGTCAAATCCACAATTCCCACTTCATCAGAAAAACATCAACGCGAATCGTACAACCGCAATAGCGACCCCCAACCCAACAGCCCACCCAAAGTTCACCTCCGCCACGGACGCCCCTGCACTAACAGACACCATCGACGGAGTGGGTCTCCCGGTCGCGGGCGGCGTCGCCGCCGCACCAGTCACCGATCCAGTGGGCCAATACCCCGTCGACGTCCCGGCCCCGGCCCCGGTGCCCGGCACCGCAAGCACCAAAAACGGCACCGTAAGCGTCACACGGTCCGCGCCGTTGGCACCACACCCGGCGCACGAGGCCACCGTCGTCGTCATCGGCACGCTCACGGCCGCGGGCTGCATCCCGTCACCGCCGCAGTACTTGTTGCACCCCGGCACCAGGATCGTGGTACAGTGCTCCGCGGGCGTCAGGCGCGCCGCGTCGGTGGCGCAGACGGTTGTGTATGTCACCGTCGTGATGAGCGTCGATGTGGATGGGGTATGGGGTTCCGGGTCGCCCAGGGGCGGGGCGTTGGGGGGTACTTCGTCTGTGAGACGGGCGTAGACTGACAAGAGGTAGGTTGAGGGCGCGGCGCGGCGGTGGAGGTGGAGGTGCATGAGGCGGCGGTGGGGGTTCGAGGAGAAGGACGGCGGGAGGGTGTCTCGCTTTGGCTTCGTGGCTGGGGTGCTTGTGGTGCCGCCGCAGAGTTGGGTGCTGTTTCCTGGGCAGGGGCTGTTGCAGAGGGCGCGGTCTGTTGTTGCTCTGGTGTCTGGGTCGAGGTCGTCTGCGCAGAAGCATTCGCTGGGAGGGGATATGTTAGTGAGAGAGGTTTTATCTGAGAAGAGGGTTCGGGACGTTACCTTTCGCGGACACCGGCGTATTTCCCAGGTCTGCAGAGATCAATACACTTGCCGAGCGTCATATCCGCCGCCGAGGCCTTGAGCAAGAAGCTCTGAAACCCGGTTCCGGAGCCGAAGCAGCCGAGATACGCATACTCCCCAATCGTCGCCGGCTCGCGCCCTGGGACTACGGGGTCCGTCGAGGGGCTCGGCGGCGCGGTGGCGGTCGGTCCCACGACGGTGGACAGGACGACGGACGAGACTTGGGAGGACTGCATTGTGGCGGTGGACACGATGACAGTACCGTTCTGCGTGAAACTCGTCACGATAGTGGCAGGGTTCGGTACCGTCGTGTAGATTGTCGATGTGGTCTGGATCGTTGTCGTTGTCGTCGGCTCGGACGGGCTGGCGGTGGTGTTCGTGGCGAGGCCTTGTTCGTAGACGTCGATGTAGTTGACTTCCCAGTATCTGGTTTTCCGCTTCTCGTCAGGGAGGTTCCAGTGAGCATGTGTGTGAAGGGTCCGATGACTTACGCGTTTGCGAATGCGGTAGGATTGTTCGCCACGTACTCAACGCACGTCGGCGCCCGCTGATTACAGGTGTCCCCGTCCTTGCCCCAGATGTTGGCAGCATAATCACCGCAAAAGTTCTGAACGTCTCAAAGTCAGCTTGATTTGTAATATACTCACGCAACTTCGCGCAGAACATACCGTCTGAATCACAATACTCATATCCTTAAAGTATGTGTCTACATCACACGACGACGTCCCAAACAGCGCAGATGGCAGGCCCCAGCCGGACGGATCGGGGTTCTTGGCAATAATATCGTCCGGGATGCTCTGCCTCGGCCAGTGCCAGATACTGATGGCCTCCGAGGTCCACTCGAGCGCGTAGACGCCGCCGCCGACTGCGTTGAAAGCGTCTCCGTAGGTGTGTGTGTCCGAGGCGGGGGGAAGGTAGTTGCAGCCGGCGTTGTTGGTGGTCTAATTTTTGGTGTCTTGTTAGCAAGAGAGCACACAGCCACACATCACCAAATGATGAATACACAAGGGGCCGTGGGCTTCACTGAGGAGACTACATACACCTGGGCTCTCACAGTCGAGGAGGAGAGGTTGGCCGGCGGCTGCGGGGGAGTCTGGGATACGGCATCCTGATGTACTAGATTTATCGTGTTAAACCCGACTTCTAGATATGGCATGAAGGAGTGCGAGACTCACGTGTGTCCGGAGAGGATATTCTTTGTAGCCTGGTTCGCGCCCTCGATGATATCAATTTCTCCGCTTGTAGGCCAGTCCGGTCCATACATCCAGACTATCCAGATTCAATGTAAGCTAGTGAGCCAAGAAAGGTAACCCGATACGTCTTCAACGGGTCTGATCCCCTCCCAAACTCGGCAATATGAAAGGACCCAAAAAGGAGAGATCCAAACTTACACGCAGGCCACAACCCACAAACCGACGGCGGCATGTGCGCGAAATCACCGATAAACAGTCCATGGTTATACTGCCTCTTGCTCTCTAGCCTCAAACTCGGCCGTCCGTCGCTGAGGCCGTACGTATTCTTGTTATCCACGCCCAGCGTCACGGCCTGCGTGTCCGGGTCGATGAAGTAGAGGCCCTTTGCAAGGGCGTCGGGCTGGCTTTGGTACCTATCTTTGCCGTTAGGTCATCCATGTCCAACTCCGCTCAACTAACAACAGGGTCTAGGCCGATATCTGTGAGTAGGAGGAGGAAAGGACGTACCTTACGAAGCCGTTGGATGGGTCGGCATAGTTGATAAAGTTGAAGTCTGAAATCAAGTTCGCGCCGAAGTACGACTGCGATAAGCTGTACGCCATGTTGGCTTCTCTTCCTCTTCCTCTTCCTCTCCTAATGTTCCTTTACACCTTTGTTCGTGTCTTCTCGAGGCTTTTTTGCCGTGCCCTTTGTCGTGTTAAGAGATTCAAGAGAGTGTATGAATGACCACCCTAAAACAACTTGAATAGAGCGAGAGAGGTCGGGTGCGTCAGCGATCGATGATCGGAAACCGATGGGCATACACACGTCAACGAGAGACTCTGGTTGATTCAGATAAACAGAGAGAGAGATAGAGAGAAGGAGAGTGTGAGAGAGCAAACGCCACGGCTCAGTTTCGATGATCGAACAGAAACCAGATGTCATGAGACCCTTCAGAGAGAGGGGTGTAGTTTGCTTATAACCCTTTGCTCGTCACCATCTCCCTTGCGACTGATCCAGGTACAGAATCGCCAAAGATGCGAACCTCGACGAATGGATTTCCAAGTCTGCCCTCCTCCACATGAGAACCACACCACCATCATCGCAACCCTCACTCCCGGTCAGGAATGCCACTGCTCGACCGCCGTCTGGCCGAGGACCTGTCCAAGGACCCAAGCCTTGGGGATGCTCGAGATCCATCTCCCTCCCAGCCTCCTCAAGCAAACCTATTTACAACAGGTGACGTTTGCTTCTCCACAAGAAGCACTTGCTCATAAGGGTCTACGCCTAGTTGGAAGAACAGAGAACCAAAAAGGATAAGAAAGCTAGACCGGTCTGGTGGAGGTCGACAGAGAATCCAATACGCAGGTAATCCATTTCGAGAGACCCAACCACGCAATATCCACTCCAAAAAGAGAAAGCCAAGGAAGCAGACCAAGTTTGACGAGAGAAAGAAGGGAAACAAGAGGAATGCAAGCATCGCTAGCTTCGCTCAAAAAGCTGCCTTCCTCTTGCCCATCCATAAACCCTCCGAGCGTAGCAGACTCGGCAGACCGAGACATCCTGACGGCGAGACAGGAGGTGCGCCGCCCAGGCAAAAAAAGAAGTGGAAGCAAAACCGTTCGAAGAAGAGAGGCCCAACCAACAGTGAGCGAAAAACGTGAAACCCAATAGGGAAGTAGAATCGAATGCCAGATCACGTAGAAAGGGATCGGGGGGGCGTGGGGCCGGACCACCGCCCCGATGTGAGACATCCTCCCCTCCATTCCAAGCGGTGGAGGTATTCCTAGTCCCGCATTCTTCATGTCCGACCCTTGCTTCCACCGGGTTTCCACCTCCGAAGTTCTCAGAGCCAGAAAAGAAAAGACATAAAAAAAAGGACAACGATGCTCTAGATCGTGAGTGGGTATATTGTTCATATGGTGGATATGGCATACAAGCGGAAACAAAAAGGGACAAGTTCGTGACCCAAACGCCATGGCCTTTTTCGGCTTATGCCCACCACCTTTAAGCAATCCCTCCCCTCAACACTCACCCCGACTCTTTCTCGTCGTCGGTAAACTACTGACCCAAATTCTCTCAGTTGTACTAGTCTTACACCATGATCCTCCTCAGCCCCTCCGTGCCTCCCAGGACGCGTCGGCCAGTGACCGCACACCGCCCCTGTCCGCTCTCCCACTTGCCTTCCTTGTCTCCCATGAAATCTTCCTGCATCGGATGCAAACCCTCCACCCACCGGTGAATGCACGTGTAGCAGTACACAATACCCGTCTGACACGCCGTCGGTGTAACGATGGGATCCTCGCAAATAGGGCACAGCGCCGAGTCCTCAGGCGCAGTCACCGTATAGATGGGCAACAGCGAAGGCGTCGCGATAGGCGCCGTCTCAGCAGCCGGAACAGCCGCGTCCGCCGACTCGTCGTCGCCGCTAACCGCCTTCTCCTTGCCCTTGCCCGTCGCGGCAGCACCTGCTCTTCCAGCTCCTCCCTTGCCAGCCCCCAGGCCCGAGACCACAGGGGGCGGGAGATCCAGCGTCTCGGACGCCTTACGCGACAGCTGCTTGGCAAAGTCGGACGCGTGCCACCACTCGAGAAACTTGAGCGCAAAGATGCTCATCGGCAGCAGCAGAGACAGGCTGGAGAGCAGACGCGGGCCCATCTCGCGCGGGGAGAAGAGGGATCGCCACCCGGGCGGCGCGCCG